TGCATGCAATCAAAAACTATTTTTAATAATGCTAAAGAAGTAAAACTTCTTACGCGCGTACATAAGTACAGGCACCCTTTTTTTACAATCTGGGCCTCAGATTTCTGAATCTGTTTCATGATCATTCTTATGCATATACATATTTGATTTTTGAATAGGTATGTCTTTTGCTATTTACCGTCGGATTTTTATTTAAGTGGAGATTTGAATCATTATTATTCTTATTATTACATTCATGAAAAAAAAAAACCAAAATAGTTTACTATAGTTTAGTTCATGTTAATAATCCGATGCAGGTGTATTATGCAGCTTTCGTATCAAATTCCGACGCGTGCTATTTTAGACACTTCGTCTGAAATATGTAAAGGGATTTGATTTGACACTTATAGCTCAATCAGAAGTAATTATAAGATAATTTAAACTTAAAATTGTCTATCAATTCAATTGGCGTTTAACGTTTTATGTTTAAAATAGAAACATTTGTTAATCATTATAAGTAGGAGTTTACATAACAAATAAACAAATTAACTTATATATTATATATTTATAAGCTTTGTCTGACACTGAAAATTTTCAAATTTTAGCAGCTCTTTAATATCACATGAACTGTCAGTTGAAGTGGGGTCATGGGCTAAGATAAATATTTTGTTAGTATAACGTCTGAAGGGTCTGACTTGTTTGCCAAATGTCGTTTGACCATGAAATCATTTGCGTAATGTTAATATAACCACTTAGGTTAATACAGGGTTACTAGAATATAATACAGGTTACCATGTTTTGTCAGATGCGGGTACACCCCTATTTGGGGTGAACCCCTATTTCGAATTGTCATTTCTTTCTTAAAGCAAACGAAATAAATACATTGAGTCGAATGAGTGCTACTTTTTTATAACATAAAAAAAAATTACTCAAACGTAGAAATAACTCATTCGAATATCTAGATTCTTAGTAAAACTTTGTGGTGGCGTTATGCATTTATGAGAAAATTTAAAACTTAAATTTGGTTCAGTACCAAGTACTTCTGACTGTGATGCATACAACCATGAGTCTTAACTCTAAACTAAACTTGTTATGTTTCATAAACATATTTTTCGATACAACATAGAGAATGACAATGCAGTTAATTTCCTCGGGATGCTCTTATTTGATCGATTAATCGATTATTATTAAAAGATAAGCTACGAAATCAAATGCCCCATTAATGACTACTATTTTAAGTAAAGTGATTTTTCTCTTATATTCTGAAAACCTAAGAAGAGATATTAGGTAAGACATACTTTTTGAAGAATATGTAGTTTTATCCTACCGTTTAGTTTTAATTTTAGTTATCCTTTTGCAAGTATGTAACAATAATGCGCTCGAGTACAACTTGCAGGAACCCTGCCCCGCGACCCGCGACCGGTGACTGTAACTCCCCTCACTCCCCATCCCTCTCAACAGGCCACAATCGCACGCCCACGGGTCAGTGTTGCCATTTTACAAAATTTTCCCTTAATTATAAGGGTTAATTAAGGTGTGGTTGGTAAAGAAAATTACTCGTATCGTCTCTTTGGATTGGCTTCGCTAGAATCGGCTTATAAATGAATCACTTCAAGACGATGTCTTTTCTTTCATTGAAATATCATACGCAATTCATAATTTGATTAGTTGACAACTTATTTTTAAAAATGATTGCTAATTACATTACGTAAAGTTAAGATGTATGTATATATTTCTTATGTATTTTTTATTGGCTGAACAATAAGCAAGGCAATATCACTAAATAATGTTTTAGTTTTCTATCGCGTCGTGTTCAGATTTTCGATATTAGGCCGAATTTTCCAGATAGTGTAGGAACTTAAAATTTGATATAGCGGTAACACTGCCGCCGGCTACAGGCGTTGGCCGTCGGGCACGACGCAGTCAACCGGAGTCACTTGCGGTGATAAGCCGCCCCTCGGTCATTGGAACCGATTCAAAATTACATTTAGTTGCGTGTGTGATAAGTACTGTCTTCTAGTGTAACCAATTGCAATGGATACGATGGATAGAAGTAAATATCGCAGGTACGGCATTGTATAGATTTTAGTAACAGTACAGTAGGTGATGGCCCTTCGGACGTGTCGCAAATATATTTCTAGAATGCGTTAGAAAAGTTTTGTTGTAGTTTGTTGAGTTAATTGCATATAAGCACGTGGTTCGTAAATAAAATGGCGGCGCCGGCGCCGCAGTTTTCCACATTGATTTACTATAGGTGTCTAGATAGACATAGAAAAGTTTCCAGTTATAAAAAAGTCGCTAATAGAATTTCATTTTTTTTAAAGTGACATAGTCATTATAAATTCGATATAAAACAAGTAAAACTCCAAATAATGTTTTTCTCTAGAAGGCTTTCATTTCCCTCAATAATGGAGACAGTTAAGGTTTTTGTTATTCATTCATTTTTAGTAGCTTGGTTAATTGATTAGTTCTCTTGGCGTACGCCATAAACACTAAGGCTTTTTTGAGCTAATAAACTACGAACAAAAGAACAACGTAAAGCTCGAACAGTGTGTGGAAAGCACGCAAGCCTACCTTCTTCATTCAAAACTAGAGATATGACTGTATGACAGTCGCTGAAGTGGCAGCACTGCGGCGACGGCGCGAATTTTTATGCTTGATGAGTCATTGCGCCAATGGATAACTCTACTGATAAAATTTGAAACACATGATGTATACTTAAAATGTACTGGTGTTTGTTGAAAAGCACACATAAGCTGAAATATACAAATTATATGACTAAAACAAAAGATTTCTACTTAATTATCTCAAAATTCTAGCAAAAGCGATATTATTTACCCTTGGTACATTTAAACTAGACGAGTAGTATTTCATTTCAATAAGTCCTAAGAGTTATATTAAAGCGTTTTAATATTTTGACTAAGGCTGTTTGAGGCGGATGAGCACATAATAAAAACGATAGTGATAAAGGTATTATTATTATTAAGTTGGATGAATAACGGAACATGCAATTAAGTTTTAGGCCCAAATTCCTAGACAGCTTGAGACTTAATTAGTTCATTTAGATATTATTAACATTGGTAACCTTAAATGTTTTCAGTTTTGTAATTTCCCTTAAAATTTGTTTTAAAATTCACGAGGACAGTCCCGATCTGCCTGAAGTTTACTATTACTACACAATTGTTATAAAAACGTGGACCGGTTGTTTTACTACTATAGTAAATATCATAATGTGAAAGTGATTCGTATTCACGCTCAGATCGGATCAATATTGGTAAATTTCTGGATCAGAACGAGTATATTACATTATTCGTGGTTAATCCTTATTAACAATCCAATAGTTACCTATATTAATAGTTGAATAAAAAACATCGTAGAATAACATATGTGTTGCACTTACATATTAATTATAGTACTTACCTATTATGTGAAATCGCATCTATATTCTATATATAAAATCATTGCGAAAATTTAACAGCCACAAGTTGATTTTTGCGCTATTTTTCGAGTCGGGAACCGGTCGGATGGGGCTCAGTAATTGTAACTTTCCAAACGAAAGCCAAAAAGTTTGAAAACTGGTCGCGGCTCGCGGCCGACAGCCAACCGCCATATTTGGTTTTATTTGTTTACTGAGACACGGCCTTAATGACTTGGGAAATTAAACTTTACTAAAAACTTGAGTTTGAGTTCGCGAAAACGCGACACAATCACGAGCCGTGGATCGAATAGCTGTTTTTGACATAAATTACCAATACCTTGGCATGGTTTGTACGCCGTACTTATTCAGAAAGTTATGAAATTGTTAACAAATAAATTTGTATCTAACCTAAGCATTCTGGTATTTGCCTATCCAACTGCTGCTAGCATTTAACAGTTTTAAAAAAAAGTGTAAAGATAAGATAAAATATCTAAATGTGTTTAGTTAATTTGCCCGAGATTATAAATTGGGACCCTCCGATTAATTTCGTAATGTTTCGGTTTGAAACACGCTTAAGAACTATAAAATCCTAATCGCTCCAATCAATGAAACAATTAGCAACTGTCAAATTACCCCGTTAATTAAAAATTCTTCATTTTGACTTTATGTCGTTATTCTCATTCGCCCGCAATTAATTGAGTAAATAAAATTACCCCGTGAAGATTATCCTAAGTGCATATTATTATAGGTGCATATATTATCCTAGGTAGTATTAATATTATATAATGCTAAGGGCAACTGGGTTAAAGTGCATTGGTGAATAGGTGTAGTGTACCGCCCTTTGCGAGGCCCTCATTCGCATTTTACTACGCTTACAAAGTGTATAGGTATGATACCAGTTATTTACCTTTGAGTATAGGCCCCTATTACATAAATTTAATTTATCATAATCAAAACATTGGACAGTGTAACCGAGTTGTAAAAATACTATTAACAATACGAAATAAAGCAGCTATCTTCTATGAAATTTACCGATAGTATTTGTTGCCTTCCGGCTTGCCGATCATTCTTGTCAAATCGTATCGTTGCGTGTCGCATATTGTAGATACTGGGTGCGGCGTCCGGCGAAAGATAATTGAATTAAGCGACCTATCATCTTGATAAACTTAACCGCATACGCCTTATCTCTTTATAAATTATCGTAGACATAGTGAGCGAATGTAGGTAAACGAACTAAGTGGGGGTCATCACTACCTGGCGGGAGCGTAAATGCAAGCGGCCACTACGTGCGACTTGTGAATGGCGCGCGGGGTGCGGGAAGGCGGCGGTCCGATGACGTCATGTCCGGCACCGCCATTTTGTGATTAGGGTCGCATATCGCTCACGACCGGCCACTCGCCCCTTCCCCGCGCATCGCCGCGACCGAAGTACAACGCGATATGCCACAAGTATTGCACTTTTGCGTATGTTGTTTAACTAGAATAAAATTGGCTCGGAGTTCAATAGCGCCTAGCCTGGATTGCACCGTGCATTTTAGCCGTCCACCCTACACTGAGGACATTCATTTTTTTTTGTACACTATTTATTTGGTTTACTGTTACCAATGGGCCGTGTCGCTTGTCGCAGCCGATCCTCTAAAGTGCTGATCAGCGGGCTGCCTCTGCACGTTCGCTTCGACAACATCGAGCCCCTTTTACTACAGTACGGCAACGTGCAGCATTGCGATAAGGCGAACGCGCGCGATGCCAACACCCAAGCGGTGTACATCACGTTCGAAACGCCTGAGCAGGCCCAGCAGTGAGTAAATGGTTTTTGAACCACTGCATGATGTGTGCTTCTTTTCGCAAGTGTTTTGTGGTGTTTTTTGCATGCTAGGGTGTGGTTTTAATTCTTATAATCTGACAACGTACGTACATAATATATCGATAATGCTTAAGGCGATCTTTTGGTGTACTTTGAGAATAGTAAAGGTGATAAAGAAAGTTGTAAACGCCTTGGTCTATGCTATGTTTGTTGTCGGATATTAAGAATACTCGGCCTTCCCTGAAAATAGTTGAATAATCAAAAAAATAAAACATTATTCCTTGTTAATTCTTTCTCACTTCTATTTACACTTTTCTTTTATATTTCTTTAGTTTTTAACTTGTGTTGTTAAAAAGGGGAAGATAGATGGGCATTATGTTGATGGCACTGTTTTGTGTGTCACAACTAAGCGCATGGATTTTATTGTAACTGCAGCGTTATTGAGTTGTAGTGGTGGTGGTGACGCTAAAACTAAAAATAGCATGGTTTATATTTTAGCTTGCAAAAATACGAGATCAACCACCAATAATTAAATTTTTTATAGAAAATCTCATACCATCTTATACTTCTTCACTATGGGGAGGTGGTATATTTAATGCACGGTTCTATAACCGTGCATTAAATATATAATTTTCTATAACCCCAACTATTTTATGATGGTCGTAGAGTGCATTTACCCTTCTTAAAAACTTATACCTTAATAAACTAAGGCTTTTTTATATTATATATTTATCTAAATAAACCGAGAATATAGCTTGCAACACAATGCATCCTTGGTCGTTAACTAATGGGGGCTTACACTACTTACGGCTTATATACAAATTATTGTAAACTTAACATAGACCACAAATTAGACCATAAATAATAACCTAAGTTAATAAACTATCTTGAATGGCGTTTTGCACACCAGTGACGATTTGATATGACCTAATCATGTCTGCAATGCTACGCACCATTACTAATTTGTAACGGTCTGGGTGGTGTTTTACTTGTGTTGGGATAGAATGGCGCTTTTGGTATTGGTATTTATGCTAGTGGTGTCGTTATACATGTCTAATGGTGGGGATTTGACAGGGCGATAAACTTGCTGAACGGGTTCGAGCTAGAAGGCAGCCGTATGAAGGTGGAACCGGCGGATGGTGGAGCACGGGGCGGCCGGCGTGGACGGCCGGGTGGTGGCCGCGGTGGCGGTGCCCCAGGCGCCGGCTCGAGACCTACGGACTTTCCACTGCGACTACTTGTCCAGAGCGACATGGTCGGAGCGATAATAGGCCGCCAGGGCAGCACCATTCGCCTTATCACCCAGCAGAGCCGCGCAAGAGTGGACGTGCATCGCAAGGATAATGTCGGCTCGTCGGAGAAGGCGATAACGATCTATGGTAACCCGGAGAATTGCACCAACGCTTGCAAGCGTATCCTTGAAGTGATGCAACAGGAGGCCAATAACACTAACAAGGGGTATGTTTAGTGAATTAAGTTGAAAAGTTATTTAGAATTAGGTAGGTACTTCCTAGGTCAAAGTTAAGGTTTTAAGTTATCCTGAAATGGGTTTTCTTATAATTAGCCACCTGGCATGGCACAAAGCCGATTCGAAAGAAAAATTTTGATCTTTACCTCTGAATTTTCGGAAAGAGAAAATACTTGCGTTTCTATATATAAATATTTTCTACTACTAGGGACTTAATCGCTTACATCCGTTATTGAGTTTTCCTTAAGAGAATTGCCTTGCGGCGTTCTTACTTCCAGAAGCAGGCAATCAATCAAGGAGCAATTTCCATAAACATTTCTGCTTAGAAATATTTAACTTGATTTCGAACTATCGATTAGGTCAGCTTCCGTATTTGAATCTGTAGCTAAAGCAGTCTGCGGAATAATACGTTTGCAGAGAAAATAAATTATATTTTTGAAAATTGCCCAAACCAAGTCACTTAGAAATAAAACTGATTTAATTTTTTTTATTTACAGGGAGATTTGCTTGAAAATCCTCGCACACAACAATCTGATCGGCCGGATCATTGGTAAAGGTGGTAACACAATAAAACGCATCATGCAAGAGACTGACACAAAAATAACTGTCTCATCTATCAATGACATCAACAGCTTTAACCTAGAACGTATCATCACTGTCAAGGGTTCCATCGAAAACATGGCGAAGGCCGAGTCACAAATATCTGCCAAGCTGCGGCAGAGTTACGAAAATGATTTGCAGGTGCGTTGCTGTACAAGTACAAAAGACAATACAATACAATATGTATATATTGTTTTACAATTTATAATATAAAGATCTACAATAATTATTAGTGGTATAATTATAAAATTCAGCAATGCAGCAGTTGCGACATTGAAATAGCTTAATAATATTTCTTCCACACACCAATAAATCCTCTTTGAGAACTCATATTTTGAAATAAGACTAAAGCTTATATATACATACATATTATATTGGTAATGTTTGTTTACGAACCAATTTCTGCGTACGCGCAACATAACATATGTATTTTTAGACAGACTTCTCTGTAATGGACTTGCTTTAGTTAAGGATTTCATGAGTTTGTTGAGCAAACTGTACTGTTTTAGAATATCCTTTTCTAGGGAATGAGTGCCTGTGGGCCTAGTGGCGAATCACAGCTGCCATCCAATAGATTTTTTTATGTACTCAATTTAACACTCGGTTTAGGTTTTAGACGTTCTTATTAATTTGTCTTGCCACATATTTTAAGTTACGACAGCTTAAGCACTGTTAGTTGGGAACGTTTTCCTATTTTCACCAATTATACCACCACCACCAATATATATTTTGTATACTGTTTATGTTAATTACATTATCCAATATTTCAGACTGACTTTTCGAGTGCAATATGACTTAATGCTTATATTTTCAGGTGCTAGCTCCGCAAAGCATTATGTTCCCGGGTCTGCACCCGATGGCCATGATGTCGACTCGCTACTGCGGCGCCCCACCACCCTTCCCACCGCCTATTTACGCGCCCCTCAGCGGCCAGGGCGGCGCGCAGCAGGGCGCTGGTGATTCGCAGGTAAACCTCGAAACTATGGTGCCGAGACGTTTTTAATTTGAACCACGGGTTCCTCAACTTAATATAGATAACTGGTTGGTAGTTGGTGGTCATTTTAAGTATTTTTTAAAAACTATTTGATAGGCGTCATCTGTGATTTTTGGGCTACATTAGTTTCTATCACTGACTGTAATGACTACAAAGTGTTTAGTTTGAACTAAATTGTTAAATCAGCTGTCATGAAAGTTGACAAATAAAATTAGTTCGGCCCAGTCGTTGAATTTTCCATCGTGTAATACTCGGAATTGAAGTAGCATGATTCATCGTTGGTACGGCGCATATAATAACACTACTGCGAAATGATTAGCCGTTCGTGATGCGTGTTGATAAAATGCGGTTTTGATTTGGTAGTGTTATCGTTATTACGTGCAGCGCTGCTATTTATAACTTGATAAATATTCATTGGAAACTGTAATAACAAGTCGACGAAATATTTGCTCAATAAATTGTCTGCTATTATTTGGTTATGGGTCTCTAACAACTAAAACGTTGCAAATTTGAAATTGTGCCGAATTAGCGAAATGTTCAGAGTAAATGTCTTGTCAATCATTTAACATACTTAATTTTAACAGGAGACTACCTACCTGTACATACCGAATAACGCCGTGGGAGCGATAATCGGCACCAAGGGTTCGCACATCCGCAACATTATTCGCTTCAGCAACGCTTCGGTTAAAATTGCTCCGCTAGAGCAAGACAAGGGCGAAGGAAACGCCGGAGCTGGAGCCGCCGCTGCGGCTGCTGCTCAGCAAGAGAGGAAGGTGACCATTGTTGGCAGCCCTGAAGCGCAGTGGAAGGTAATTCGCAATTATACTTCTGCTATATTAGAATTATTTACCGACTGCCAGAGAAAAATCTCCACAAATATGTTAATGTAATATTCTTAATACCATAGAATACTTGCAACAAACAGCTATTCTAACTCTGTATCTTAAATTTACAGGCACAGTACCTGATTTTTGAGAAGATGCGCGAGGAGGGCTTCATGTCTGGCTCTGATGATGTGCGGCTCACCGTCGAAATAGTCGTGGCTTCGTCCCAAGTTGGACGTATTATAGGAAAGGGTGGCCAAAATGTCCGCGAACTGCAACGTGTCACTGGGTCGGTGATTAAGCTTCCCGAACAAGCTCAGCCGGCAGCTGCGATCGCTCAGGACCATGAGACAACTGTCCACATCGTCGGACCGTTCTACAGTGTGCAGGTATGTCATATATATGCTATGCGAATGTGGAATCGATCGGGTAGAATTCGTTGTCTAAAGGCGTTTGTAGATTGTTGGGCTATGTTAATGAATAAAAACAGGAACAGACTACTGTAGTGGATATAATTCATAGCTGTCTCTATAGAGTTATTCATAGAGTGGATATGGACGATATTATTATGTTTGTAGTATTGTATTTTGCTTAAACTTACTGTGGTGGATGGACACCTCCATGTATGAGATGCCTTGCATCAGCTTTCGAAATTAGTTCTACAAATTGCAAACATTTGGCTGCCATGTTCTTGGTTGTGTATAAAAAAAATAAATGTAATTTTATTTTCATGCTTATGTTTTATCAGCGACCTTCACGAAAACTATTATTATACTAAAATACATGTTTGCAGTAATAACATTACAATATAAACCTGTGTGTAACGTATAATAATACGTTAGTTAGGTTTAAAAAATAGAAATATCAAAATTTTTAAACTGCAATTGAGGGTGTTATATATGTAGGGCATTATACTTGATTATAAGTTAACGATAACAGTTCAATGTTTGGCATATGTGATTTTAATTAAAATAAAGCAATGTAAAATAGCAGCCAAAATGTTTTGCTATTTTGTAGTCCTATTATGTTGGTATATTGATGTAACATTCTATGTTAAACACAAACACTACACACTAAAACATATTTATTTATTTGGATTTATACACTAGTCACATGTGTAAATAAAAAAAATCGGCCCCGTGTTAAAGGTATGATGATTGATATGTGTGGTAGTACCAAGTCCAAAGCAAGAGGAGAGGATTAAGATAAGTATTGACGGGTTTTGCTGGCACTGCGAAATATTTTCGTAACGGCGACTCTGTGTCATAATAATTTTGTACGTTTTGTAGCGAACACCCGACCCTGGCTGAACATCGGTTTCTTCTCACTTCACTTGAATATAGGTGAGTGTCTGTTCCATAATTTATTGACTCGGCGAATGTTTTGACATGTCATTAGCGATTGACACGGACTTGGTACTACGTGAGTGGATGGTTTGGTTTCAATTTTACACACTACACACATAATAATACATACAAACATATATAGTATTTGTAATTTGTAGTTTATATATTGTAGTTTAAGGCTTGCGATTATGTGAGTTGAAGAAAAGATTGTGTATTATGTTTCATATCATAAATATATATTTTATATTTAACCTAAGTAGATATGTTTATTGTTGAATTTTAAACGCGGTCTTTTCTTTAGATAGCAATTAAGTGTTGTTTTAAGCACTGACGTCGTGCTTAGCGTCTAGAAGTCAAATTAGTTGAAAACTAGCCTAGTCCCTTGTAGATATTGTATTTTTGTTTTGATAATGCTTATTAATTTTGTCGGGCTTATTTATATATATATTAATATTGCTATCTACATTAACTTTGTGCATTGCAATGTTTGCCATACCAGTTAACCATGTCATTTAGCTAAATATTGGTTAGTAATTGGTAATAATATAGATTATTATTTTTGGTTGATACCGTAGTTGTAATTGTTCTTTAGAATTGCAAATTAGTTTGGTTCTTCTTCGATAATAGTTTGCTTTAAAGTAAACGGCTTACGACACTGGTAAATTGTTAATTGTAAAGGTTAAGGTATTGAATACACAAAGTAATGTCAATAGCATAAGTTTTTAGGACCTATCCAGTATTAGTGTTTGCTGAGCGATGTGTGATATGCGATGCGATATTAGTAACCAAGTGTTATGTTGTGCAGTCTGCTCAGCGGCGTATCCGCGCGATGGTGGCTCAAGCGAGCGCGCCGGGTCGGCACCGCCGTGCTGCACAGCCGCCGCCTCCCCAGCAACAGTAGACCGGACACTTTACCCCCCACCGCGCCGACACACCGCCCCCCCTTTACACCCCAATACCCACTCGCCCCTCAATCCACTTGCCTCTTTGCGTTTCGCGCCCTCCCCCTTAGTGCCAGTAGAGCTAGCGTATTCCACCCACAACATTATCGGCCTGATACGCTTAGTTCGCAACCAGTAATCGGAGACCTGTGCGCTACTGTTCTTTCTAATATCGTAAAGGTGCGGACACACCTTTACACTAGCTGTCTATATATTTACATGATTGTCTGTTTATTGATATAAATGTTATAGCGATATTATAAAGATGGGAGAGTTTGTAAATAGCAAAGAGTCGTTGTTCAAACATGAAATTAGTTAGTTCCGCAAGTGATTTGTCATATGTATTTTACACATATGTAGATATACACATATTTTTTTCATATATTCATGAAGTATATAATTGTTAGATTGTTTTACCGTTATATATATATCCGACGGTTGAAATGCAATAGTGGTCCATGTTAGGTTCTTATACAAGTGTTAAGTAGACGAATCAATTATACAGACGCGTATTATGTTTTGTTATTGAGATATAGATTAATATGTTACGGTGTGTGGGTCGTACCGACTTTCGCTTTACTGAGGCTTTCCTGAAACGATTGATGAATACTGTTAACGTCTCTTCGCGGACTGACGCGCCCCTCGCGCACCAATTAATACGTTCCAAGAGATTTGTACCTCACGGTGATTGTTGGACGTTGAGGACTTGTGTACGATTAATTTATAAGTGACATTTGTTGATCGTTTTCTTTGTAATTTTGTTAGCTTTATAACGGTTTTTGTGTCGTCGTGTTTTCGGGGCCGAGCCGGTTCCGGCGTTGACTAACGCGTTGGAAACGCGCCGTCTGCCCGTCGCTTGCCGGCCCCTAGACTAGGTAGAAAACGCGTCGTCGCTTTTGATGCGAGTGTAGTATTTGTGTTATAATTGTGCCAAGGGAGATATATTGTGAGATTAAGAATTAAGTGAATGATATCAAAATTGGGAAGCTTAGATGATTATATTTATGAATGTGATAATAATATATGGAAGTTGTGAAACTATGTTTCACGGTCTAGTTTCGATCTTGTCAACGTATGTAAGTTAGTCTATGTTAGTTAGGTGGCAGCGAGCTCCCGGACACCGAACCAGCTATCCGTTTGAAGAGTTGCCCGCACCGCTAAACCTAATGGCGGTCGCGCTGCACTGACGTGTGCTTACGCGACCTTGCCCCGTGTTGTTTTACTTCCACATATTATTAAATAATCTCGCAATTGGCATAAATATCAACAATTACCGTTCCTCTGCTCCCGACTAGATATTCTATGAAAGAAATGACTTGAATATTGTAGTAGGACAGTGACGTCCCAGATTCGATCGTTACCCGTCGTGCCAGCGCTGCCAAAGACCGGCAGTGCTGAAGAGAAACTCTGTAAATCCATCAATCAATGTATCAGTATTGTTCAGAGTGTACAAATTGCCCTACCGTACCTGGTACGTAGGCATCGGACTAACAATCTAGACGGAAGAACGAATATACGTTGTACGAAGGGAGTGCACGTGAGTTGAAACCACGCGCGTATTCCCTTCTTTAGCATTGATTTCGCTGGCTTCGAGGAAACGCTCCGGTATTGGTCAACGACCCTTCCGCGGAGCCGGCGATTTCCGGCATTGTTGTTTCTTGGACGACACATATTCGTTTTTCCTCGACCAGTACTAAGAAGCGTACTTAACCGATAGCCGTGTGAGCCGAGAGCGGGTCAGCGGGCACTATATGAACACGCGTCGTTACTCGAACTCCTCCATCCGAGTGCCCGAACATTTCCGCGGGCCATTTCCGGTTTTACAGTTGACCACCGATTGCTTCTGGCGAGGTGTTATTAATTTTTAAGTGATTTGGTAATTTTTTGTCGATAGCGGCGACCGCGCCTACCGAGTATGTTGCTTGTGTGTGTATTCGGTAGTGCGGCCTTTGTGTTTTGCCGTACGAGAGACAGAAGCGATAGGGACGGACAGTGTACATATAGGCGTGTTGTTATTCCTTCCAGGTAAAGCAGGAATCGTAATGTTAGCCTCATTATCATTATGTTCGTGTTTAGCAAGCTGAAATAGATTTAGTTTATTGTATCGTTGTGAAGTAGTGTTTAAGTTGTGGCGCGCGTGGGCGGGCGGCCCGAGACTGAACTACACCTGCCACCCTACCCGCGTCGCGCCTCCCCCATATCCCTATACTATGACCATATGACAATTATCCCATCCAGAATCCATTTAATTTGACATAAATCGTACAATATGATTATATTTTTTATGACATATCTTAAGTAACATTCGACAAAATTTGAAATAAAACTGATTCGTTTACATATTAATTATTATTGTGTAATTGAGGATTTCCTCCCTATTAATTCCCATCAAATATATAATCAAAATTACATGAACTATACTATTATTTGATTATGTGGTTATATTCATTAATGTATAACGTTTATATTGTGCGAATCCATTTACGTGTATGGTTGATTGATGGATCGTTTATTGATGTTTAAGAATGCTATGTACGGTGAGATGTTGGCCAAGGCGGGCCAACTCCGCGCTATCGTTGCTTCTCATCACGCTAAGGCCCAATACATTATGATTAGTTATTTACAAGCAGCCAAGCAAACCTTTCACACAGTTATGTACCAATTAAAGTTTTCTTTGTTATTTTTAGAGCCATTTTTGTAATTGGTATAAGTTCAGAAACTAATAACTACCTCAATTTACTAAATGAATGAAGATTATTATGTATGTGCATTTTTTGGAACTTCTGAAATTTCAATAAGTTTAATTAAGAAATATGAATGCTATTTTCAAACAGTAATGGATATTGTCAAAATTAAGGTTTCTTAATGTAATAAAATATGAAAATTTATTGTATTTTATTTTTTTACCTAACAATAATTAATGATAAAATTGCTCACGTACACACATTCGTACCAAGTCTTATGTACCTTTGTCGTGGTTTCTGATTTGTGTCTTAAAGTATTGACACCTACTTTAACATAATATGCCTTATATTATATCATATACGATAAGTTATTTTTCTCTAGTTATATCATTAATTCGGGTTCCAAGTATTGCTATTGTGGTAAGCCGAATGCGATTTGAATAAGTCATTTATTACTAGCGCATCGTAGCGTCAAATTCATCACAACTAAACCGCGAATACGTGCGCACTCTTACGTGTAGTAATGGGCATGAACAGTAGTGCTATTGAATCTCGTCTGTAAATTTTTGGGTTTAATAGGCATTCATAGTTTAGTACCAGGTAATTAAATATTTCGCCCGAATCCATCGTGGTCAACGCTGACGCAGGCCAACTTCAGACTGATGACGCGTTGGTTCGCTATTGGGCGCGCGAATTCCTTAGAATGCGCGCGTCTTTATAATATTTCAGAACATAGATTTATATCGTTAGATAGGCCCCGACACCAAAAACTGTGGCATTGTTTTTGAATGTGTGCGTTATTAAAATGCCGACACACGCACACTAACGAGTAGTTAAAATATCGTGTTTCTGCCATTGTACTTATCTGTTGTTATTACCTATGTACTGAGAAAATAGTGTCATCTCTTTTTCTCCTACATTAGTTGCAAACACTACTTTCTCTTTCGTGCCTCGCCTTTTTAATTTGTTATTTTAGACAGTGCGGAAGGAAAAATAAAAGTTTTTAAATCAAATCGCAATACTTACGAGTGAAATGTTACACCTCTGGCTTTATTTGTGTTTCTAGAATTGCTGTTGCACTTTAGAAAGGCACACGATGGCATTTTGTGACACTAAACTGCTCCGGCTAACACTGTGTTTAGGGGTGCACTGATCCCAGGTTAGTGAGCTCACTCACTTCGACTGTGGAACAACACGGCGCGGTCTCACTGCGGTAAGGGCCTATCTAACGATATAAATCTATGTTTCAGAAGTAATGTTTGCGTTACAATGTGGAGTTAAGGTTCAGTTTGTTATATTATGTACGTTCAGTTTTGTAACGACGCTTCCATGCGCTTCGACTCTGCGCTAGTATAAATTGATCCTAAGTAGAGTGGTAATTGTTTTACTGGTAAAATTAATATACAAAGTTTAGAAAATACCTTTTTCCGAACTTCGATATAACCACAGGTTTTTTTGAAAAAAACTTTCTATTCCGTTTCAACGCACTAAGATTTTAGGAATAAATATTTTTTACTTCTATATAGGTTAACGTATTGTGCGACAAAATGTAAGGCACACTAATCCCCTTCTATGACGCGGTAGACCCGGACCGCGTTATAGGTAATAGCGTCGTAGGAGTATTGTCGTAAAACCAAATGATATAAAATATTGTACACTACAGAAATTTAACTTGAGAACTGGAGAGTTCTCAATATAAATTTTAACGCGGAGGCGTTAAAGGGGGGAAATACCGCGTTATATGGGGGACGAAAATCAAGATATACCGCGTTATAGGAGAATTACTGTATAAGGACCATATTGGTCACGGAACAAACTTATATGAATGTTCGACACAATGGACTATCTGGATGATAAAAGCAAAACGCATTATTTTCTGGTAAGGGAATAGGATATCTTTTGCTGGTAGCTTGATGGATCCTGTAGGTGCCTTTGACATTATCAAATCTAGTGTATCGTTCTGTCTTAGCAGTAAAAAGTGGTGCTATTTCGACCTTAAATGTAGAGATAGTCTTGTCTTTCATCTCGCTCATGATTTCGGATGCCACCTGTTCGATGACGGGGTCTCTGCTCGTAGGCTTCTTTTGGTGGGTGAATTTTAATTTGACGGCTATAAAAAAATACATTAAATTAGCATTTAAATCATATGTTTGAGTTGTGTTCATAATAGCGGTATACAAAATAGCTCGGTCGTGCTTTCCAATGCATGTCACCAAACATAATAAAAATGACTATTGGCAGTTGGCACTGATTTAAGGCGGCATTTGAATATAGGA